CTGGCAGGTGTCATCTGACCTTGACCTCATTTTCATGGTTCAGTGGTTATAGTTAAGTTTTTGTGTTTTGGTCTGTTTTTCTTATACTGTATGCAATAGGTCTACTATATTTGGTGTATGGAATGATTGTAAGGTGTACATGTCTAGCTTGCAGGTGTCTTCTGACCTTGACCTCATTTTCATGGTTCAGTGGTCTAAGTTAAGTTTTTGAGTTTTGGTCTTTTTTTCTAATACTTTATGCAATAGGTCAACTATATTTGGTGTATGGAAATATTTTATGATGTACATGTCAGTCTTACAGGTTTTATTTGACCTTGACCTCATTTTTACGGTTCAGTGGTCTAAGTTAAGTTTTTGTGTTTTGGTCTGTTTTTCTAATACTATAAGCAATTGATCAACTATATTTGTTGTATGGAAGGATTGCAAGCTGTACATGTCTGCCTGGCATGGTTCATCTGACCTTGACCTCATTTTCATGGTTCATTGGTCAATGTTTAGTTTTCTTGGTTAAGTCTGTATCTTAGAAACTATAAGCAATAGGTCAACTATATTTAGTGTATTGAATGATTGTAAGGTGTACATGTATTTCTTGTTTGGTTTATATGACCTTGACCTCATTTTCTTGGATCATGTTAAGTTTATGTGATAGTTGTAGTAAAGCTTTATATTTAGGACTATCAACATAATATCAATGATTAGTAAAGAAGGCGAGACATTTCAGCGTGTGCACTCTTGCTAAAATTGGAGTTATCTCCCTTTGTCCATGATTATAGTTGAATCAACTACAATCAATGCTTTATACAATGCAATGTTTAATTTTGACTTCCACTGATAAAACACAGATCAAGTTGAATTTGGGTAGTGTCACTTTTACCATTATTGAGCTATGCCCTTTTATAAATCGAAAGATTGAATAATTTTTAGTTTCCATTCTGTAACTTAAGTTTGCCCCAACCAAACATTATGAAACCTATACACAATATTCATTACCACAAAACTAAGATCAAGTACAAATTTTTTGTTTCCGTTTTCTAACTTTAGTTTGCTTCAACCAAATGTTATGAAACTTATACACAATGCTTATTACTACATAATACAGATTAAGTACGAAATTTGGTGAGAACACTTTTACCATTCTTGAGTTATGTCTCTTTATAAACATAAAAAATTGCTGAATTTTTCGTTTCCGTTCTTTTACTTTAGTTTGTCTCAACCAAATGTTATAAAACTTATACACAACCGTTCTAGAGTTATGCGTGTTTACAAATAGAAAAATTGCTGAATTTTTAGTTTCTGTTCTCTACTTAAGTTAGCCTCAACCAAATGTTATGAGACTTACACACAATGCTTATTACCACAAAACTCAGATCAAGTTCAAATTTGGGTAGCATCTCTTTTACCGTTCTTCAGTTATGTCCCTTTATAACTATATGCTATGCAAGCGGGGGCATCATCTGTGTCCACATGTGGACACTATCCACATTTATTTTCTTCATGCTTGAAGATATTGATTTGATATTTGGTATATAGTTTTATCATAACAAGTTACAGATCAAGTTCGAATTTTGTTCTGGTCTGATGATTCTGTGCAAAGTTATGGTCCTTGGACTTAGAAAATTACCCATATAATCAGTTTTCCACACTTTTTTTCGTCATGCTTGAAGATATTGATTTGATAACTGGTATATAGTTTTATCATGACAAGTTACAGATCAAGATTGAATTTTGTACCGGTCTGATGATTTTGTGCAGAGTTATGGTCCTTGGACTTAGAAAATTCACTCAAATAATCAGTTTTCCACACTTTTTTTCGTCATGCTTGAAGATATTGACTTGATATTTGTTATATAGTTTACACCATGACAAGTTATAGATCAAGTTAGCATTTTGTTCCAGTACAATAAATTTTTAACCGGTAGGGGACTATGTATTGCCATGCAATATTCTCAGAATGCTTGTTTAATTTGTTTATGTTGAAAAAGTACATTTTCAATGCCCTTTTTCTAGAAAATATTAAATTATAAATTGAATTAGAACACACCCTTTGACTTTTAACCTTCAGTGTCATATAATCATGATAATTAGTCACCTACCGACGAAGTCGAGGGGACTTTAAGTTTACACTCCGTCTGTCTGTCTGTCTGTCCGCCTGTCTGTCAGGCAAATCAGTTTTCCACACTTTTTTTCTTCATGCTTGAAGATATTGATTTGATATTTGGTATATTGTTTTATCATGATAAGTTACATATCAAGTTCGAATTTTGTTCTGGTCTGATAATTTTGTGCAGAGTTATGGTCCTTGGACTTGGAAAATTCACTCAAATATTCAGTTTTCCTCACTTTTTTACATCATTCTTGAAGATATTGATTTAATAATTGGTACATTGTTTTATCATGACAAGTTACAGATCAAGTTCGAATTTTGGTCCGGTCTGATGATTTTGTGCAGAGTTATGGTCCTTGGACTTAGAAAATTCACTCAAATAATCAGTTTTCCGCACTTTCTTTCGTCATGCTTGAAGATATTGATTTGATAATTGGTATATAGTTTTATCATGACAAGTTACAGACCAAGTTTGAATTTTGTTTCGGTTTGATGATTTTTTGCAGAGTTATGGTCCTTGGACTTAGAAAATTCACTTAAATTATCAGTTTTCCACACTTTTTTTCGTCATGCTTGAAGATATTGACTTGATATTTGTTATATAGTTTACACCATGACAAGTTATAGATCAAGTTATCATTTTGTTCCAGTACAATTAATTTTTAACCGGTAGGGGATTATGTATTGCCATGCAATACTCTCAGAATGCTTGTTGTTTTCAAAATCAAAAAGCAAATATTTGAGGAGAAAAATAGTAAACCTATGTTTCAACTTACAAAATGCACCCAATACATTCATATTAGAATAACTAGAAGATGCCTGCGAAATCGCGGTACAATTTGGCAAGTGTTGAAAAAAAGAGTGTCAAGGATGCCTGTGTTTAAACATAAAAAGGGGGGAGGGTTCTGGACGTTGGGTGCCTGTGTTTACACATAAAAAGGGGGGAGGATCACTTCGACACGTTCAACGCCCATTTCATTTTTAGACAGTTCTGCACCTTAGTAAAAAGGGTAGATGTCGTTTAATTTAGCAAAATGATGCACTTACAATACAATACAGGATCCTTATAGGCCTAACTGTCCTATTTTCTATCCTTTCTTCTTACTTTCACTTTGATTTCGCAGGCAGTATGTCGACTGAGCATGTGCGAAAGCGTATAAGACATGGATCAATAACAGTCTCCGAATTTGGATATTTTCTCAAAAATTGGCGCTTTCTGTGGCAAAAAGACTGTTTCAAAGACAAATTTAGAAAGTACAAAACGCTACATTTATACGTCATATCACAAATATTTCCGACTTTGTATGGTTTTAGAGGAGCTGCGGCTCAATGAAATTGGTCTCTTCATTAAGTAGTATAGATATTTGGAGACAATAAAGATCTTAGTTTCAAGTCTATCTGTTGATCCCAGGTACTACAAAGATAATTGATTAACTTCATTAGAAGAATCTTTATTTGGTAATTCCTGCTGTTTCTAAAGATAAAACGTAAAAGGTGAAACATGTATTAACCAGGGAACATTATTTGGTTAAGATATGAAATTGCAATTTGCCTGTAAATGAAATTGTTGTGCGCTATTATTTGTTCACATTTTGCTCATTCATCTACTGAAAAAGTGTTTATCCTTCTCAAGACCTACACTAAAGTTAGTGCAATTGTCTGCAATAGTGCTATACATGTATAAGTGTTCTTTTTTTGTCAAACCATACCTAAATATAATTTGAAATTATTCAAACTACTCTTCCAATCTTTCTATGAGTGATTCCATGACTTTGATTAGTAAGAAGACTTACCCTTTTCATTTTTATTTTTTTGTTTCATTAAATTCTAGATTACTGCTTTATATCTAATCAACATACTAATATGTATGTGCAGTAGATCAACTTATTAACCAATAGGCAATTTTCATTTATATTTTAGAAATTAATATTGATACCCTCGCTTTAAAAAAAGGGGGGGGGGGGGGGTATACTGTTTTACCTCTGTCTGTCCGTCCATCCGTCAGTCCATCTGTCAGTCTGTCTGTCCCATGAATATTTTTCGTCGCATCTTTCTCAGGAACTACATTACAAGGATTTCTGAAATTTGGTTTCATGGTTTATAAAAGTCAGCTTTACCGTGTGATGCATTTTCAGATTCATCACTCAACAACTTCCTGTTTACCGTCAAGTATTTGGGCAGGGGTATCATCAGTGAGCAGTAGCTGGCAGTTTCACTTGTTTTAATTGATATGGCTATAACAAGCACTATTGGTACAGCCATTTGTTGCCCCTCGACAGAGTAAATTAGACTTAGGGTATGTATGCTGTTTCAGGTGGCGTCAACAATTTGTTAAGTTTGTGATTAGGTCAATTAAAGGGGGAACACTAAAGGTAAATCAATGATCTGTGGTATGCAGTTGTGAGAATATTTGGCCCGTCCCCTTAGTCATGGTCTTTTGACTCTGAAATTTTTGCATAGTTTACCTGGTTAAGTTTGTGATTAGGTCAGTTAAAGGGGAACCACTTATGATTAGTCAATGATATTTGGTATGCAGCTGTATTGGCATTGTCACATCTCATTTCAATGGATATTGTTTGGCCCTGTATCTTCAGTCATGGTTCATTGACTTTGAATATTTTGCATAATTTACATGTTCAAGTATTGCTATTATAATTTCAACATTTGCATTTTATTATGATTGCTTTACAAAATTACAAAGAGGCCAGACATATCTCTGTGTCAACAGTTTATTATTTAGATATGACATAAAGAGGCAATTACTATCTAACAATTAGGAAATAATTTTTTTTTATGAATTGTGACCATCACACATGTACAAAGAGAATATTTGACAAATTCTTTTTAACTGATTCAATGAAAAAATCAAAGACTAAGTATTAATTATCTTTTACAGAAGTCCTGGTTTGTCAAAACTGAAAATTGCTGGGTAGGATGGCCTAAACAGGTATGGTTTATTTTCATTCAAGTGATTTTATTATCATGTCAAGTAAAGACAATTGAAAATATTGGGCCAAATTTAACCAAGCTTGAACACAATCATCATTGGGGTATCTAGTTAAAAAAAAATGTGTCCAATGACCCCACCTGCAAACCAACATGGCCAACATGGCTAAATATAGAGCATAGGTGTAAAATGCCAATTGTTAAAGTTTGTGTTTGGGTCAGTTTAAAGGGAAACACCTATGATAAGTCAATGGTATTTAATATGCAGTTGTATTAGCATTGGCATTTCTTATTTCCATAAAGGTAACTTGGCCCTGCATCATTTGCCATGGTTCATTGACTATGAATGCTTTACAAAGTTACATGTTAAAGTATAGCCATTTTAATTTTAACATTTGTATTATACTATCAAAATTACTTATCTCTGTGTCAACAGTTTATGAAGTTTTGAGGTGCTTTTGAGGTATTGTTTAACTATGTGTAATTATATCATAAAGTTATAAGGTAATTGTTTAGAATTTCTTGGTTGATTACAGCATGTAACAAATGATGTGTACTGGTACTATGCAATAGAACTGGGATTTTACTGGAGTTTATTGTTTACATTATCAACAGACCATAAAAGAAAGGTAAAGAAAGGCTATATATGAAAATAAGGAGATGTGGTATGATTGCTTATGAGACAACTATCTACCAAAGTTAAAATGCCAAAGGCCAAGACATGAAAAATGTGAACACTATTCAAACGAGAAAACTAACAACCTAATTTATACAATACAATTAACGAAAAAGAAATATAACAAACATGAACATAGTCTTTTAGAAAAAAAAGTATAAAACTTAACTTTTGTTTTAGGAACATAAAGTACAATATCATGAATATGCACATCTATTGAAGTTTTGCACAAGGCATTTCCAGATCAGCTGGCCCCTAGGATAGTTTCATTCCACAGTGTTTGTCATATGTTGTCTGTTACACACAAACCTTTTTATAAAATCTTCTTTTTATGTCCCTTCTGCAATAGTAGGTGGGCATTACATTTTCCTTTATGTCCTTAGAGTATTAGGTACATTTTAATGTATGTCCTTAGAGTATTAGGTACGTTTTAATGTATGTCCATCGAGTATTAGGTACGTTTTCCTGTATGTCCATCGAGTATTAGGTACGTTTTCCTGTATGTCCATCGAGTATTAGGTACGTTTTCCTGTATGTCCATCGAGTATTAGGTACGTTTTCCTGTATGTCCATCGAGTATTAGGTACGTTTTCCTGTATGTCCATCGAGTATTAGGTACGTTTTCCTGTATGTCCATCGAGTATTAGGTACGTTTTCCTGTATGTCCATCGAGTATTAGGTACGTTTTCCTGTATGTCCATCGAGTATTAGGTACGTTTTAATGTATGTCCATCGAGTATTAGGTACGTTTTCCTGTATGTCCATTGAGTATTAGGTACGTTTTCCTGTATGTCCATCGAGTATTAGGTACGTTTTAATGTATGTCCATCGAGTATTAGGTACGTTTTCCTGTATGTCCATCGAGTATTAGGTACGTTTTAATGTATGTCCATCGAGTATTAGGTACGTTTTAATGTATGTCCATCGAGTATTAGGTACGTTTTAATGTATGTCCATCGAGTATTAGGTACGTTTTAATGTATGTCCATCGAGTATTAGGTACGTTTTAATGTATGTCCATCGAGTATTAGGTACGTTTTAATGTATGTCCATCGAGTATTAGGTACGTTTTAATGTATGTCCATCGAGTATTAGGTACGTTTTAATGTATGTCCATCGAGTATTAGGTACGTTTTAATGTATGTCCATCGAGTATTAGGTACGTTTTAATGTATGTCCATCGAGTATTAGGTACATTTTCCTGTATGTCCATCGAGAATTAGGTACGTTTTCCTGTATGTCCATTGAGTATTAGGTACGTTTTAATGTATGTCCATCGAGTATTAGGTACATTTTCCTGTATGTCCATCGAGTATTAGGTACGTTTTAATGTATGTCCATCGAGTATTAGGTACATTTTCCTGTATGTCCATTGAGTATTAGGTACGTTTTAATGTATGTCCATCGAGTATTAGGTACATTTTCCTGTATGTCCATCGAGTATTAGGTATGTTTTCCTGTATGTCCATCGAGTATTAGGTACGTTTTAATGTATGTCCATTGAGTATTAGGTACGTTTTAATGTATGTCCATCGAGTATTAGGTACGTTTTCCTGTATGTCCATCGAGTATTAGGTACGTTTTAATGTATGTCCATCGAGTATTAGGTACGTTTTCCTGTATGTCCATCGAGTATTAGGTACGTTTTAATGTATGTCCATCGAGTATTAGGTACGTTTTAATGTATGTCCATCGAGTATTAGGTACGTTTTCCTGTATGTCCATCGAGTATTAGGTACATTTTCCTGTATGTCCATCGAGTATTAGGTACGTTTTCCTGTATGTCCATCGAGTATGAGGTACGTTTTAATGTATGTCCATCGAGTATTAGGTACGTTTTAATGTATGTCCATCGAGTATTAGGTACGTTTTCCTGTATGTCCATCGAGTATTAGGTACGTTTTAATGTATGTCCATCGAGTATTAGGTACGTTTTCCTGTATGTCCATCGAGTATTAGGTACGTTTTCCTGTATGTCCATCGAGTATTAGGTACGTTTTCCTGTATGTCCATTGAGTATTAGGTACGTTTTAATGTATGTCCATCGAGTATTAGGTACATTTTCCTGTATGTCCATCGAGTATTAGGTACGTTTTCCTGTATGTCCATTGAGTATTAGGTACGTTTTAATGTATGTCCATCGAGTATTAGGTACGTTTTAATGTATGTCCATCGAGTATTAGGTACATTTTCCTGTATGTCCATTGAGTATTAGGTACATTTTCCTGTATGTCCATCGAGTATTAGGTACGTTTTCCTGTATGTCCATCGAGTATTAGGTACGTTTTCCTGTATGTCCATCGAGTATTAGGTACGTTTTCCTGTATGTCCATTGAGTATTAGGTACGTTTTAATGTATGTCCATCGAGTATTAGGTACATTTTCCTGTATGTCCATCGAGTATTAGGTACGTTTTCCTGTATGTCCATTGAGTATTAGGTACGTTTTAATGTATGTCCATCGAGTATTAGGTACGTTTTAATGTATGTCCATCGAGTATTAGGTACATTTTCCTGTATGTCCATTGAGTATTAGGTACATTTTCCTGTATGTCCATCGAGTATTAGGTACGTTTTCCTGTATGTCCATTGAGTATTAGGTACATTTTCCTGTATGTCCATCGAGTATTAGGTACGTTTTCCTGTATGTCCATCGAGTATTAGGTACGTTTTCCTGTATGTCCATTGAGTATTAGGTACGTTTTAATGTATGTCCATCGAGTATTAGGTACGTTTTAATGTATGTCCATCGAGTATTAGGTACATTTTCCTGTATGTCCATCGAGTATTAGGTACATTTTCCTGTATGTCCATCGAGTATTAGGTTTAAAGTAGTTTACCATGAAGTTGTGGTCACATCAACTTGAAACTAAGTGCACATATTCATTATGGTGAGAACATTCCAAAATATATAATATGATTGATCTTCATTTAGCTGTTCACTAAACATGAAATGTGATTATATGAGCGGGTCATGATGTTCTATGGACAGGTATTCTTGTTTTAGACTAAATGTAGGCTGAACTTAAACGAATCATTTTGAAAATTGAAAGAAATAGTAATGAGTCACTTTTTATGATAGATAGTGTACCTTGATTTAGTACCTTCCTGGCTGGCATTATTCTATCTGAAATGGGAAGGATATAGTTATGAGGTATCTGTTAGTTCATCTGTCTCTTTTGTTGATCTGTTCCACTTTTATATCCACTAATGCTCCTGAACAGCTTGAAAGAATTTGTTATCACTTTTACAGAATCTTATTCACATCATGTTATTTTGCACTATCTATTTCATTCTTCATCCAAATGATTTTAGGAATTTAATTTGGCATGACATGGACTTTGTCATGTCCGTACACAACAGTATTTTTAACACATTAAGTCTACCGGGTGTGCTTTATTTCAAGAAATGGGGCTCAATTATAACCCTGACTGGAGGGAAGCACATATCAAATTTTGTTAAACAGGAATTTCATTGCATTTGTTTTATGTCAAAAGGACTTTATATTTTTTCTTAATCTTTATATTAAAATGACGAATCAAAGGTTTCTAAGCTCAAATTCTTATTGCTAATTATGCTGGAAGAAAATTAATACAATCTGGCTTTTTTACCCAAATGTAGTACAGAACTTACCTTAGTGTATTTTCTGGGATAATTTAGAAGGTTAATTTGCACTATTTCAGTTCTCCCTACCTTGTTTACCTGCGTCGCCAAAGGCGAAATCAGGTCTAGTAGCCTGTGGACTCTGTCTATCAGTCTATTACAATTGGTCTATCCGTTCAAACAACCTTGGGTAGGACACCTTCGTCAAAGTTTCCTTGGTTTCAATGAAAGGGAATGATTTAATATTTGATCTACAGCTTGATGATGATGAGTTGTAGGGAGTGAGCAATACATTAGCTGTGTATCTACTCCCTGTTCACAGATAAGTTGAAATTTTACACATGTTGTACAAGGAAAATTTTCGTCAAAGTGTTTTAGGCTTCTATGAAAGGGAATGGTTTAATATTTAGTCTGCACCTTGATAATGTTGAGTTGTAGAGAGTAAGCAATTTTTAAATCCACTGTGCGTTTACTTCCTGTTTGCCAATAGTTTGAAATTTCACCACACTCATTGTACAAGGAAAATTTTCTTCAAACTTTTAATGGCTCCTATTTTAGGGAATAAATGTATATTTGGTCAGCAGCTTGAAAGTGTTGAGTTGTAGCGAGTAACCAATTTTTCATCTGCTGTTTAGCTTAGATCTTCTTCCTATATACCGAAAGTTAGAAATTTTACAACAATCATTGTACAAGGAAAGTTTTTGTCATGTTTTCTTAGTTTTGATGAAGGGGAATGATTTAATATTTGGTCTGCTGCTTGATAATATTGACCTGCAGCGAGTAAGAAATTTTTACATCCAATGTGCAGCCACTTCCTGTTTTCCTACATTTTGAAATTTTACAACACTTATTGTATAAGGAAACTTTTCGTCAAAGTTTTTTTGGTTTAAATGAAATGGAATGATCAATCATGCTCCAGTATACATGTAACCTCAATCAATTGCATGCAACAAAGCAGGTCCAGACCAGGTATTGGTCTTGTTTCTAGATGATACACCTGTTGTTAAAGATCAGGAAAGTTGTATGTGTGTAGGTTTCCAAATAACTGAAATTTGTTTTGATTGTTTTGATTGGTGGAATTAAATATATTGCCCAATGAGAAAGCAGCTTACAGAAACCTTATCATTGTATGAAGCTTTTCAATGGTCAAAGAACTATATGTGGTCACCACATGAATCTCAACATATGATTTGTAATAATTTTAAGATCATTGCTAGCAAAGGTTAAGGTCAAAGTTATTTAAAATATGCAAATATTTTGACAAAAATAAGGATTTTTAGTTAGTAACAGAGGGTCTTGAGGGGGTCTTCATTTCTTTATTAGTCCCCTATCGACGAAGTCGAAGGGGACTTTAGGTTTGCACTCCGTCTGTCTGTCTGTCCATCCATCAGTCCGGCAAATCAGTTTTCCACACTTTTTTTCTTCGTGCTTGAAGATATTGATTTGATATTTGGTGTATTGTTTAATCATCACAAGTAACAGATCAAGTTTGAATTTTGTTCCAGTCTGACGATTTTGTGCAGAGTTATGGTCCTTGAACTTAGAAAATTCACTCAAATAATCAGTTTTCCGCACTTTTTTTTTGTCATGCTTGAAGATATTGATTTCATGATTGGTATATAGTTGTAGCATGACAAGTTATAGATCAAGTTAGCATTTTGTTCCAGTACATTGAATTTTTAACCGGTAGGGGATTATGTATTGCCAGGCAATACTCACAGAATGCTTGTTCTTTTATGTTTTGGGTCAGTAATCTGTATTCTTAAATTTTAAGATCCCATTATTCTCTATTCTTTTTTTTTTTGCCTTGTTTTTTCTATTCATTAATTTTTTTGCCTTTTTTTTCTATTCTTTATTTTTTTAGGCCCATTTTTCTGTAGTTTTGGCCTATTATTCTCTATTCTGTTAACCCCATCCAGACCCTTGCAACTGAAAGAACATAAATTCACTAAGAAAATGAGAACAGCTACAGTGTTTCCATGCTAAATATTATTCCAGTTTTTGTTATCAATTCCTTGAAAAAGTTTGATTACCAAAAAATATAATTTGTTTAGTTGAAGCCAATTTTTAGGAGTACAGCTTTGTTTTGCACTGCTTAGTAGATGCTTCCTAGAAAGAAGTTAAGGCATTGGGGTTAGTGATCTTACTAAGATTATTACAAAATGAGTGTTATCCTTGTCGCTCCATACACCTTTTTCCCCCATTTCATTGAAGGTTTTATGCATTTTTGCTTGACTGTCAGTGTGCTGTATAAGGAGATTCTTCTGGGCTGAATTTTCTCTTCTTTTGAAATTATGGGAAACATTTCTTAAAGATGTACTTAGGTGAGGTTTAGAAATTTGTGTCAGATGTTCGGACTCCTTGGTTTTTTCCTTCAATACAGGGTGAAATATTTTGCCCCATAACACCCATTTTTCTTTTCATATAAGACTTCAAAAGCTCTTTAAAAGTCATTTACCAAATTTAAACAGATTAAAGATTACTTTTCTTTCGATTTGAGACTCAAATAATACCAATGCAAATATAAGGTAAACGTCCAAGTCAGCCTTTTCCCGCCAATTTTTCAAAATCAAAAATCTTGAAAAGGAGCTCCATAACCTATCAATATTTTTAGATTATTTTGTTCCTTAACTAATGCTCTTCCGACTTATAGTATCAATTTGAAATTATTGATTTTTTTAATTTCACCTAAGTACATCCCTAATTAATCATTTTAGTTTGACCTTGGGTCTTTTTCAAATTTTGGTTCATATTTTAATAATTTGTCTATTGTGGCTTCTCACTGAATTTTGAACATTGTTAGTTCTTGAATATTTGGGGTTATCATATTCAAATTTTAGGCTTGCCGTGATAATAACTATAGACATGTACCACCTTCAACAATGAGCAAAATACATACTGTATTGTCAGCTATAAAAGGCTCCAACATGACAATTTGTGCTTGTTACCAGAATACATCAAAAGTAACAAGTCTTTTGAAGACCGTATCTATTTAGAAGCTTTCTTGCATTGAGTTTTGGAGCTGGTGGGATAACTCTTTGACTAGATCAAACAAAAGATTAAATACAATTGGTTTTCACTTCTGCTTCATCTGGCATGCAAGCTTTAGAAGTAAGATTAAGGACTGAACAGGTCAGTATCCAAAACATATTTCTTGATTCATGTACTGTAATTTCAGAGATTAATGCATGCATTTATATTTGTGAATCAATCACTGATTACTGGTAAAAATGCAAGATCTAATTAATGGGATTTCAAAACTTTTATGTAAGATTTTGACTTGCAGATAAATATTACTTTGCAAAAAGTATACCAAAAATTGAGATGTTGAATAATATTACACATATAATCTTATAAATTTCATTAGCTTACAGAAGATGATTGTAGTTATTCAGACAACATTCAACAAGAAATTGAAAAGTAATTGTATATTGTCAATTTTAATCCAACTTAAGATCTAGTTTTCTTGCAAGCTGCTCTCTCTTACAGGATTTCACAGAAATGGTCACTCATCATGTAGTAACAATTCTCCTTGTCTTTTTTTCCTGGGTAACAAATTTTGTTCGAGTAGGGACTCTAGTGCTGTGTGTACATGATGCTGTAGATTATTTCTTAGCAGTAAGTATAAACTAAGTGACTATTTTATGATCAGTTGTCTCCTTTAATCATGTTTGCAATAAGGGTACAATTTGAATGTGGGTTTTGTTTTTTTGGGTCATTTAAAGGCAAATTTTTAGCATGTCTGTTTGGTTACTTTTTGCTAATTAAATTATTATGGTGTACCGTTGTCCGTCTGTTAGTCATCAACATGTCGTACAATAACTCAAAAACGCTTTAACCAATTTGCATGAAACTTTCGTGAATTGTTTATATCTATTGACGTGAGCTCCCCTTCAATTTTTATAAATTTTAGATTTTACATTTCCAAGTTATGGGGTGTTAGTCGTTAAAAAAGGGGGATTTTCCAGTTTTCAGACAATAACTCAAAAGTGCTTTGAGCAGTTTTCATAAAACTTTGGTGACTGGTTTATATCTATTAGAATAACCTCCCTTTAGTTTTTTATAAATCTCTGATATGACATTGAGAAGTTATGGAACATTATTCTTTAAAAAAGCGACGGGCGTATCATGCGCTCATGGCGCAGCTGTTTATTAAAAGATTTTCTTTATATAATGTAAATTTAGAAGTTATTGCATGCATTTGTAATAAGGGCCCCGCCAAATGGCGGACGCCCTATAGTGATCAGTCTGTCCGTCAGTCTGTCTGTCCGTCCGTCTGTCCGTCCTTAACCAATTGTGTCCGCTCTATATCTAGAGAACGGTTATGATTTCAAAGTTTAGGCTTGACATGTATATTAACCAACACCAGAGGGTGTGTCATAATGTATGTACAACTTCCTAGGTCAAAGGTCAATCTCAAAAACTGGTTTTAGTTGACAACCCCATGTCCTATGGTAAAGATCGTGTCCGCTCTATATCTTGAGAACCTTTATGATTTCAAAGTTTATACTTGACATGTATATAAACCAACACCAGAGGGTGTGTCATAATATATGTACAACTTCCTAGGTCAAAGGTCAAGGTCAAAAACTGGTTTTAGTTGACAACCCCATGTCCTATGGTAAAGATGGTGTCCGCTCTATATCGTGAGAACTGTTATGATTTCAAAGTTTATAGTTGACATGTATATAAACCAACACCAGAGGGTGTGTCATAATTTATGTACAACTTCCTAGGTCAAAGGTCAAGGTCATAAACTTCGGTTTCAGTTGACTACCCCATGTCCAATGATAAAGATACAAATTTTTTACCACACATTATTCACAGCGGGGCCCACAGAGATGGCTCCCATCTCAATGATTTCTAGTTGCCATTGTTGGACAACTGTCACAAATGAGAGATTGTTTATTTGATTTCAGGAAATGCTATCAATATTCAAAAAGTAAGTTTTGAAGGTGAAGGTTTTGTGTGTAATATTTGTGAGCGTTTACTTTACTGAATTCACTTATAAATCACCTTTAATTGGCACATACAATCTGTTACACAACACTAATACTGAACCACACTAAAGGATATCAATGAAAAGACTGAGGTAATTAACAGTGTGTGGTACAAACTGCTTATGTTGAATTTATAAATACTTTTGGGATGGTTGATTTATAACTACACTTGAGATAAACACATACATGTTGGATAGTACACAAGATGTGACACAGGACTTATATTATACCATACCGTTTAAATGAGAAATATTCTTTCCCAATAATAGCAGATGATGATATTACCAAACTGAAATAAGTCACAATGTCTGTAAAATTTCTTTTTGGCTAAGGCTGTTGCTCATATCTATTTTGTCCATAAACTATGTGTAAAATGGCCATTCATATATATATATATATATATGTAAATTTCGACATGATTATTACGTCATAGTGACATCATAAGCAAACTTTTTGCACTAAAGTTTCCAGTATTATACAGTGATATTGTTTGCCTCAAATAACCTCAGAAATTCGGCTTTTTCTCCTAGAGAAAATTCCCAATTACTAAAAAAAATGGCATAAAATTCCTCCCAATAAGTTGTACATTTTTTCCAAACGGTGATGGCATCGGTAGTAATGTACGTAAATTTCGTATTCATGTTATTATTTTGATATTATGAAAGCGCTTTTGAGATCCGGGTTTCTGATTAGAATCATCGCAGTGTTTGTAACACACATGGTTTTCAATGTATTAAGTACTGTAATTTTTTCCGTTTCTTTCCCCTCCCCAAAAATTTCCTTTCCGGTTGAAAATGTCTCACAATTCAAAATATTACATGAAAAATTCTTATTCAAAACTTCCCAATTTCCAAAAAAAAATGATGCATTTTTCCCCAAAATTAAGGGTAGAGGTAGTTTTGAAAAAAGACAACAATATCACTGGTATATATTTCTCTATTCATTTATCAATTTAAATTAACATAATTTTGGAAATCTGCCATTATTGTTCTTATTTTGCAATTTCAGGGGCCAAAGAAACATCTGTTATCATACCTTCTTTTTTACAGGATACAATTGAGTCACCTTGTGTGTAGTATTGGTGCTCTGAAAAAACCTTTACATATACATCACTTTTTGGGCTTTACATTATCATCATTAACATGTCAAATGTTTTGATGCTTAACCTACATATGTCTGGTATAAATGTTTTGTAACTTAACATACATATGTCTGGTTTAAATGTTTTGTTACTTAACCTACATATGTCTGGTGTAAATGTTTTGATGCTTAACCTACGTATGTCTTGTATAATAGTTTTGTTGCTTAACCTACATATGTCTGGTATAAATGTTTTGATGCTTAACATACATATGTATAGTATAAATGTTTTGTAACTTAACCTACATATGTCTGGTATAAATGTTTTGTTACTTAACATACATACGTCTAGTACAGTGTATAAATGTTTTGTTGCTCAACCTACATATGTCTGGTATAAATGTTTTGTTACTGAACATACGTATGTCTAGTATAAATGTTTTGTTGCTTAACCTACATATGTCTGGTTTAAATGTTTTGTTGCTTATCCTACATATGTCTAGTATACATATTTTGTTGCTTAACCTACATATGTTTAGTATAAATGTTTTGTTGCTTAACCTACATATGTCTGGTTTAAATGTTTTGTTGCTTATCCTACATATGTCTAGTATACATTTTTTGTTGCTTAACCTACATATGTTTAGTATACATGTTTTGTTGCGTAACCTACATATGTCTGGTATATATGTTTTGTTGCTTAACCTACATATGTTTAGTAAACATGTTTTGTTGCTTAACCTACATATTTTTAGTATATATGTTTTGTTGCTCAACCTACATATGTCTAGTATACATGTTTTGCCTGTTCACTGACTATTCATTCCACTGGGACAGTGGAGACATCTTGCTTTAAAGTTATTTTGGATTATCAATTAGGTGAAATATCATAGAAGATGTCATATTTACAACTTTCTATCTACATGAAGTACATGTGTTTTGAACAATTCTCAGTTCCACTACTAAAACATTCACTGATTAGCAAACTATTGAAAATCACACTTCCTGAATGCCTGTGGGTTTGACGGTCTCCTTATTTCATATTAATAAAATTACCCAAGATTTTTGTCTGTGAAAGGGATTCCCGTACATTACCAAAAATAATCAAACTTCTTTTTTTTCATTTTTATTTCGAATCATTTCTTTAAATAAACAAATTTTAAAAAAAGAAATGATTCAATCATTTTTTAAGGAGTTATGTGACTTTAACCATTTGTTAGGGTATTGTGACAATTACGTAGTAGAGAATTGATAAGAAGTAGTGGATTCGTAAACGATAATCAACGAGCAACTTTAGTCGCAAGTTGATTATCGTTTACGAATCCAATACTTCTTATCAATTCTCTAGCTTAACCCATTTCTAGTAAAAAGACTGTCTGTTTTATGTTTTGACAATGAATCAACGGAATTTCATAAAAATGATTTCGTATTTTGTCTTTTTTATTCTTTAATAGCTGGAAATGATTATATCCACACGGTTCACGTCTATATTTAAGTTAACATAAGTTTGATATAACTTAAATGGGTTGTTAGCTCCCCTTTTTATTACCAGATTTAATACTTGTATATTTATATTCTATTTAATGTTTTATCATTACAAAGTATTTAAATTATATAGATTTTGGTATTTATGATTTATTCAAAAAGACATATGTAAATATATAGAATTTTTTAGTCTTTTTTTGAATAGTTAAAAAAATCTAATTACCAAAATTTAGAAACCTTTCAAATTTACATATATAGTATTTAGCAATCTATGATTCTCTACAGCTGATAAAGGATTGCCTGCAATTTAACCGTATTAAGTGAAATACATGTATATAGCGTAGTTGCCATAATACTACAATTTTATGATGCTCCAGTAAATAATGCTTTCCGAAATAAATAAAATAATTGCTGAAGGTCTTTTTTGAAAATTATACATGTATTTTGTTTAAACTGTTTCCCTTTCATTAAGTTTAGATTATTTTAACGTTATTACATTTGGCATCCATCTTAAACCAGTCAATAAACTAGTATTTTCTGTGGTACGCGTTCTAAATCTCCAGCAGAATTGCTCGTGCTACAGATGTACAATGTATAATTATGTCAATTTTTTACTATTACATTCAAGCTGTTCATAGCCGTGATCGTCTAGTCGTTGGTATCAAAAGACACAACTGTGATATTAGCAGTGCCAAGTTCAAACCTTGTACCCGAATTGAAATTTTTCATTGCAATTTTTTTCTCGACAAAAATATTGTTTTATTCTTAGAGGTATTATATACTTCATATTCATTTTAAGGCGATGATTTTGTTTCTGGTTTTACAGTCAAGGAAGTAGTTTTACGGTCGTAGCTAATATATCACACTTTATTCAAATCAGAGTACGTTCAATGTTGACGTGATGTATATTTGGACCATTTATAATCAAACAAAGAAGAAAATATTGATAGTTCGATATCATTATAAGACTAAAACCTTAAGTAAGCATTTGCTATGATGAAAAGGAAAAGTCCTTGTACGTTAAAAGTGACATGTGTAATGGGCATATGGTTG